GAAATCTTTGGATTTTGTTCTTGTGGCCAATAAACATTACACCAAAACTCTATCTTTGAACTAAACTTGTCTCAGCTCAAAATTTGGACAGAAGGAGGTTCATAGAATGGGATAAGAAAAGCTGCAGACATTTAACCACCCTATATTTCTGGTTTGAAATGTTTGAAAGAGAACAATGGTGAATAATTTTAAAAATGTAGAATACCCCGGTGTAAACTCTACCACAAACTCTCTTTAAGCATAATAATCTATGTTGCAGGTTTTGAGTTGTGGCATATACAGCATTCGGTAAGACTATAACAATAAATAAACTTAGGGAAAGAGCCCAAATACAAACGTTCCACAAACATTAGATGATACCTCAACTTTGTCCAGCATTGCTGGGTTCGCTCTCCCAGTTCTTATGGACATAAAATTGGACCTCAAAGTGTCAATAGTCTTTTCCATCCTTCCTTTCTGAAAATAAATAAAAAAATAAAAATTAAGCTTTGCTACGAGCACAATTGGCCTATTATAGAAGTTCCCATGTAAAAAAGGGAAATGGTTCAGAAAGCAAGATTGTGTTAATCAAGCTCCTAAACTTACAACATCCTTCTCAATCAAAGACTTCTCAGCCTCAATTTCTTCAATAGTCGCACATCTCAAAATACTGGATCTGATAATTTATCAAGGGAAAAAGAAAAACAGAAAACAAAATGAAGTCCACATATTTAGCACCAAAACAGGAGTGATTCATTAAGCTAGCCATAATTGCAGGTAAGTTTCGAACCTTGACTTGCCTCTTCATCAATGGCTTTGTAACAACAAGAGGCTTTCCAGAAAACCTTCCNATAATTGCAGGTAAGTTTCGAAACTTGACTTGCCTCTTCATCCATGGCTTTGTAACAACAAGAGGCTTTCCAGAAAACCTTCCTGGCCCGACCTGAATTTTAACGTAATTCGAAGCCGCATTCCACGAAACCACTTTCCCAGATTTTGAATTAGAACCTGCAGCAGAAGTCTCAATCATAAATACATTTTGTTTCAATCAATATGCGTTCGAAAACTAAGATAAAAGTAAGAAAGCATAAAATTACTTTCAAGAAAAATTGCTCAGAATCAAACAAGGACCTGGGATGAAGGACAGGAGGATTCTTGGAGAATTACAGCGTATATGAGTTGCAGGGGTAAATGCCGTCGCCATTGTGTACGGAATCTGTTCTACGAAATGCGTATATGAACTTTTAATAGTTTTTAGCCAAAAAGATTGTTAATTGACTGTGAGTGGACTGATGGAAAGGAAGTTCGGAATTGGACTGTGAATTTCAATTTGTGGATAAGAGCGAGTTTTTGATTAGGCATTCAAGAACCGTTTGTCCCCGCGCTAATTGTATCAGCGGTCACTAAACGTTCACTAGAAATACAATTAGGCCACTTCACTTTATCTGGCATCAATTGAGCCACTAAACTTTGATTAACAGAAATTAAACCATTCCATTTGTACAATGTCATCAATAATAGATTTTGGTGTGATGCAGGGACGGATTTAGGATCAAATTACAGGTCGAGCTAATAAGTAAAAATAAATAAAATTACACATGATTTTTTTTTTTTTTTACATAAATTTTTTTTTTTAACTAAAAAAAAAATCAGTTGGGGGGAGTCCCCACCCCCCC